CGTAAAAATTTCAAGACAAGTAAAACCATCGCAGGCCTGTGTTATCGTTGGGGCTCATCTGTCCCTATGGGGTCTTTAAACACATTTTCTAAACCATTTATGCATCAAATTGTTTGTGGGTCGAGGATTTTGTTGGTTTCGGGGTCACTAATAATACACACACACAATAAGACAACCACAAAAAAAAATATGTCAATATCACACTTAATTCCATTAATGATTACTGGGGTTTTCTATTTTACGCACGAAATGAATGTTGTAATGCGTAAAAATCCAAATTTACTCAATGGGGTGCGATATCTGAATTCACCGGAAGTGAGCGGTATACTAAAACTAAACTAAAATAAATTTTTTCCTCTAACTGAAGGTTTATCCAATAAAACGCTGCGGTTCTACATCTGCTACTTAAAATGTACGAGTAAGTAATATATACGTACTAAATCTGCTACTTAAAATATACGGGTAAGTAATATATACGTACTACATCTGCTACTTAAAATATACGAGTAATATATACGTACTAAATCTGCTACTTAAAATATACGGGTAAGTAATATATACGTACTACATCTGCTACTTAAAATATACGGGTAAGTAAATGTATATATCATATTTATATTTATATACTTACATTTTATTAAAGTTACCGCGTCTCGAATTCTGGCTTAATACCCTTGTTATAAGTTGATCCAAACAAAAATTACTACTTTTAACAGACATTTATGAGGGGTATGTTACGTTAAACTACATTATAGTGTTACTGCTTAGACTAATATTTGTTTACAATTATAAAGTACCTCCGCTCCACTGTGAGGTTCAAAGGTCTCCCTTATGGTTCACTTGGGGTCCAAATATAGCAAGTAAGCTTTTACATTACCCCATTTCTCGTACAAATACCCCAAAAGGGGTCGTACCCGAAAATAAAAACCGTTAAGACACCCATCTTGGTATGCCAAGTTTTTTCCCGCTTTAAGTGGGTGTGTGAATACTGTTTCACACATGGATCCCCCGGAATACCAAAGTGGGATAGGAACACAAAATACGATGCTAGACTAGGATTCAGCGACAAGTAAACCATGTGCTTACACCACATCGTGTTTTGGGTGATCTTCCGGGGGGGGGGGGGTAGTACCCCCATTTGAGTCTGCTTGCCAAGTTTAATTCTGCAAGTTACAGAAGTGTAGTATGAGTGGATACGCAAAGCTACAAGCTGAATTAATGTAGGATATGGAAAAGAAATACACTGAGGGACAGTGATCTTTAATTTTATAGTTCTAGAAATCAAAGAAGTTGAACGCTGTTTGCGATCTGATGACCAAAGACCTATGCTTTCTCTTTGTTACAAGACTTTAGTTTTGAGTTATTGTGATTTTGGAAAGGAGTTATTGAAGCGAAACTGTAATAAAATTACATGTTTACTAAAACGTTATTTTACGAAACTTCTGTTAATATTATTATACAAGAAATATATATTATATATATATATAATTTTAATGATGTAGATGCTTAGCCTAGTATTAAAAAGTTAAAGTTCGTATGGGGTAAAATAAGGGTTATAGTACACCCTCCACATGTTCTCCAGAACTGACATGAATATGTTTAGACATGGGCCACTGTATGTGTGAACACATATTGTATTTAATAACTTTGGACTGCAAATCGCTTAACATTGAAATTAGGCTCTATATTTTGACGTCAGTCACTTACAATGGAAGGTACAAAAAGCAAGGAGATTTACACCATAAAGTAAATTTTATTGGTAAAATAGACATGTCTTCAACTGACCCGTTGTACTGCTGCAGGAGAGAGCTGGATGGTGAGACAATGCGACCATGGAGAATGGGAGATGCTGAGGAGGTTGCTGTAAAATATTTTGAAGTAGTGTCTTGGCCTGATTGTGATGGCCTGGGGATTTCTTCGGCTGAAGCGTGTTTTTGGTCACCTCACGACCTCCAGGGTTCAGTCGAGCATCTTCGCATCCATTCACTGTGTAAGAAAAAAAAAAGGTCAAAAGATTCGAGCAAAAAATATTTTGCATACTATCAGTTATCTGGAAACAAGTAAAAAAAACATGCATCAAAAATAGCATCGCCTAACGTAACATTATATTTAACATAATTATTTTAATGTTAATTTTTCTTTATAATGTTAAGGATTAACAACATAAGAAATAAGCAAGTGGCATTTTGCTTTATCACAGCTCTCAGAATTGTTTGTTTGTTTTTGAATTTCGCGCAAAGCTACACGAGGGCTATCTGCGCTAGCCGTCCATAATTTAGTAGTGTAAGACTAGAGGGAAGGCAGCTATTCATCACCACCCACCGCCAACTCTTGGGCTACTCTTTTACCAACGAATAGTGGGATTGACCGTCACATTATAGCGCCCCCACGGCTGAAAGGGCGAACATCTTTGGTGTGACGGGGATTCGAACCCGCAACCCTCGGATTGTGAGTTGAGCGCCCTAACCACCTGGCCATGTCGGGCCCTCAGAATCAAATAGTAAACAAATTAGAAAACAGCAACAACAACAACACAATCAGTAGCATTTAAAAGTTCAGTAAATCTTTGCTAATTGTTTAATTCTTATACCGCTAGAAAACGGGTTTCGATACCCGTGGTGGGCAGAACACAGATAGCCCTTTGTGTAGCTTTGTGCTTAATAACAAACAACAACTTCTTTTTTGAAGGATCAAGAGTTTCCTTCACCCGTAGCATAGTCTCGTTTTCGGTTTTACTAATTACTTTGAACGTATTGGGTAATGGGACCACATCACATTCATTTAGTACATGCCGAACAAAGGTTGAACTATCCTTGAACCTAGGATTAGAGTATTCTTTTACGCGATCTCTCAAAAAATCAAACCACCACCAGCAGAGCGCTACTGAACGTTTACTTGCTATTTAGGCTGCTGAATTTTCACTCTACTGTGTAATCAACAGCGTGTATTTTCGAAGCTAGCGAAACATGTTTTATAATTACTCCACGAAAGGGAGCAACATGGAGACAACTAGTAGGACAAGTAATCTTCTGTAGAAGTTGTGTAAGATGGCAACAGCTTGGAGAAGAACTGGAGTAAACTTGGGTGTAGTGTTGCCGGAATGCACCAGAACGCCACCCCAGAATCTAAATTTGAAGGTGAGATCCAACACTTCAAAAACTAAAAATATGTATATACAAATAAATTATTCAATTTATACTCGCAATTAAGTGCTTTTCATGATCAAACTCTCAGAGTGTTCGAAAACACACTGACTACTAGTGATCCCCCGTGTCCACTGGTAGAACTTTCTGAGACCGCTCAGCACACACTCTTGTCACTTACCCTCAGGAGCTGGCGGCAAGCACCGTGCGACTACTCCTGCTCAAGAGCAGGTGTCATAGCGTTAAAATGGCAAAACGTCTTTTGCCATAAGTCACGTGAATATGTAACTAAAAACTTAATAAAATACACCTTACAAGTATAGTGTGTGGTTAAAACACATTTTAAAGGTCATTTGTAGACTACTGTTGCTAAAATCAGAATTTGAAGGAAGTTGAGTTGCGTATTTTCACTCGGTAATATATGCATATTCAATTTATTACTCATGTAGTCTCAAATGATTAGCGCTTCATATATTCTGTTTATTTAAAATGGACTCATAATAATGGAAGTTAGGTTCTGAATATGAGATCTTTGCTGTGATGGTGACGTCACACGTCTAACAGATTTTGCCAGGGCCACAGCACTATAGAATTTAGCTACTGCGAGTAATATGGCCGTTTAGAAGGCATGTCTTAAATGTGATAGGCCATTCTTAATCACAACTCAAAAGTGAAAGAAATATCCCTAATACAAGTTGTCATAAAACGGCTTTAACCTCGCGTTCTGAATAATAATTACAATTCCCAACTTTAAGCGCTGTAAAATTTGAATACCGTAAGTCAAATACTGGAACGAAATGGTCTGGCTTCAAAATAATTTTTGTGTTTTAGAAACCTTTAACACTGTTTAAATATATGGTGTAATTTGCGAACAAGTAACCCAAACCTGTTATATTAGATTCTATCGTTAGTCGTTGTTTGTTTCGTTTAAATGTCTTTTTTTTTCTTATTTCTTAAGCTCATTGATTAAACAACAGATGTAGAAAATCGAGACACCTTTATCATCGATTGGAGAAATGAGAAGTGATATGTTAAAGAGGTTTTCGTGCAACCGATAACTATCACCTGCCAACCACGACGAGTCAATCATCAAACCATATATATATATATATATTTACTTAACTAAAACTTGCAATTTCAAATGACTATAAAATAATCATCTAACTACGGTGGATGAATACATTGGTGGGCCCTAGCTATGTTTGAGATATGGTGTTGAAGACGAGTTTTTAAAGATGTGCATAACATATACGGAAGACTCGTTTAGGAAATTATTATGTGCCCGAATAAAAAATCAATGTAAATGAAGAAGAATTAATAAAAAAATTAATACAGAGGCCTAAATATCTGTTATATATTAAGTGTGTCACCTTGGACACAACAAGCCCACACACAAGGCCTAAAGAACTGGGGCCATTCAACCTCAATAACCATGGAGACAAGTAACTGATGAAGGTCGACCAGTGAGAAAAGGTCGACACCATCACATAACCTTCAAATATCGTTTTTCCGAGACGACAAAGCGCCAGAGATGGAATTTGTGCCAGATAGGTCGCAATCAAAACAATGTGCACGAGTTGTTTGTATATCGGGACCACGAAAGAGATGTAAATATCCAAAGTCCGAGTGGTTTGAAGCCATAAATAACAACAGTCACATTTTAATACATACACGTAACCGGTAAACCGCCAACTCGTGGGCTACTCTAATTGAATAGTGGGATTTGACTGTCACTCTTATAACATACCCATAGTCTTAACCCATTCATTGCGGTTGTCACGTGAACGGGTCGAAACATTTTCTTTCTTACACTGTGGCTGTGTCACGTATTTGATTTTGTTGTCGTCATGAGGAGTACGGATAAGAAAATACAAGAAAACGATAGATTCATTTTTCGGTAACAATGCTCGGGTGGATTGAGAGCGCCTCAACATTCATAAATACCCCCTTACCAGTTCACGCGGGAAATTTAAAAATGAAATTCCATACACGGCAAAGGCGCAGTGAATGAGTTAAAGTGGGGAGCGCGATTTTATGGCGATAACGGTACGCCAACCAGGGATCTACAGTCCGGCATGCACTGGGCCGCATTCGGCCCTCTGGCGACTGAAGAAAAATAAAACGATTTAATTCTCAGGCTTTAAACAGCGGAAAATAATATTATTATGGTTATCGTATATATAACTTCTTTGGTAAATAAAAGAAAAACACATTATCAAGGCTTAGCAAATTGGCTTTAAACTTTGTAACACTCAATTTATTGTTTCAAAACTGAAAATGTTTCATGTAAGCCACAAAAATTAATTTTAATAAGAAAATAAAATTCGAAAATATTGTTGGGCAAAAAAGCATTCCTTGCTTTCCCCGTAGGGAAAATCGATTGCCGCATCAAGCGTCATTGGAGTATGCGCACTCTCGTGTACTTCTTTCTGTCCGTGACCCACATACTGGTCGTTAAACAGGAAGCGATCGTCATACAAGAGAAACATAAAAAACTGTGCACGAGGAGACGGGTTTTATGCCCGGTGTCAAGGTTATTTCTTACACCATGAGGTGGCGTAGTGGCAAAAAATAACTTATACCCAAACTGCAAACCAGTATAAGTTTCGGTAGTTAAAACAATTGGTAACTTTATCTAAATAACTCCCGAACAGCTAAATAATAATAATACAGATATATATATATATATATTCGCTAGATGTTGTTTTAAAAATATAAAATATACCGAATTAATACTACAAAAATAAATAGGTACATCGCTGTACTACCTATGAGGATAAGGCCTAAAAAAATAAATAAAAAGCAAGAAGCATAATAACGAAAAACCATTTTTTTTTCTATTTATAGTAAATTGCATAATAAAGATAATAAAATATTATAAGTAGCTATTTATTAGATTACTGGACGAGTGGGTTTCACACAAAGTAAATGCAAATGTGTAGGCCTGTAAAACAAACAAATACCATTTATCTGCCTACGTTTACACAACATAAGACATCTGAAGCGCTTCCTTCCTTATAGCAGCGCATCAGTCTAAAATGTAACTACGATTGAGCTACAGTGAAACATTTCATTTCTTCAGAATATATATAAAAAAAAAAAACGTAATTACACTGTAATGCTTAAAAATATAAATACTTTGTTGGGCTTTATTTGATACACAGAGGTAATTAGTCATTCAAATACATTAACTATAATATGTTATAGAAAGCGTTATTTAATAATTTAGTTAGGATAACAAAAAAAGCTTGTTTGTTTAGAATTTCTCGCAAAGCTACGCAAAGAGCTAACTGACATAGGCGTAACTGATTTTGAATTGACAGACTAGAGTAAAGACAGCTAGCCAATAGCAAGTACTGCAAACTCTTGGGCTATTCTTGCTTAACCAAACAGTGGGATTTGATCGCCAATCGTTTAGCGTACCCACAGACAGCTTCAATTTGCAGAGCGCGTTTTCTGGCAACGGGACACGAACCATAAACACTTAAGATCACAGTTCGTGCACTTTAACCTCCGGGGCACACCGGACATAAAAAGCAAAAGTATTGTTTAAAGTAAAACTCAAGGTTTTTACACGAGTCAAAAACTAAACTAAGTCAGTTCACACTTCGTGTACACAGAAAAAAAGCACGAGCTCAGGATTTTTGTTGAATCGAGATTATATATATATATATATATTTACATATTTAGCTAATACAAAAAGTACTTATTCTTTATCAACAAAATAGACAGCTGTAACAACCACAATTTCTCAAACACGGGATAGAAAGTAATTGCACTCAAATACTGACATCAATTTGAAATTAAATTTGTTAATTCGTTAAACAGCATGTTTGATAACTT